TTCACGGCGGTGTCGCTTCAGTTGTTAATAGCTTGTCTGTGGAACACGGGAATAAGGTGAAGTCAAATGCAGTGGTTGTTCTCGACCCCATCATTGTAGGTTCGCTTTCCGCTGTAACCAGTGTAGCACTCGTAGACTTCGCATAGGGTGGAAGAAGGCAGTAAGTGGGGTTAGATACATGTATTCCGAAGAAAGCAGAGCAGACGGATCTGAGCATGGCTCAAAAACGCAAGGGCCGAATAAATCCTAAAATGACCCCAAGATGTCATGGGGTCACATAAGCAATGTATTACACTTATATCGACTAAACATTAAAACTATATCCCTTATCCAGTTATGCCTGCAAGCTTCACACCCGGAAGGTAACTAACATTGCCAATAAGAACTGTTGTCATTACGTCTGCCACTGCAAATACTGTTTAATTTTCTAATGAAACTAATGAAGCAAATTACAACAAATTTTTAAGAAGTTTTCTGAGACCTTACTTACTTTTTCTCGATTGTTTGTAAGTTGCAAAGCGACGCCAATGGATTGTATTGCTCCATATATTCTCCTAAGTTCGATAATATAATGCTTACTGATATGCTTCAGCTCTTACCTCTTAATCTGCTTCACGATGCTTGAAGTGCTTCCGACTTACATCACTACAATCATCTAGCAACTTCTATATTCCTTTTGCGGATTCTTGTTTATTCAACTTCATTCTGCGACCTTGCTTTCAACTTTGGTATTTGTTTGACGATTGGATGGGAGCAATAGTAATCATATCTACGAGGTTATAGCGACGTCTGGTCTGTAGTGTCTGGTTCAGAACTGGACTTCGTGAAAAGAAGAACACCTCTTCGAGTATCGCAATTCAAAATATGCATGGCCAAGTCAAAGTGCGAAGATCACCAGAACAGGATGCACAACACCGTGAAATCGAAAGCGAAGCGAAGCGGCGTTTTTCTTTACTAGTCGAAGAAGTTCTTGCAAAACGTCGGTCGGGTATTTTCGATCTTGAACTCTTGGAGAAGCTTGCAGAACTTTTGGAACAATCACCAGAGATGTTTACGATGTGGAACTATCGTCGGGAAATATTG